TGCAATTCCTAAGACCCCAAATAAAGTCGTTTAACTTTTGCAGTTTTTGAGGTTGAATTGATCAACACATTGAACTCAAAGGTGATGAAAGTTGGACTTTAAGAAGTTTAGAACTGGGCACAGAGGTAGATGCCTACAATCCCATCGACTCAGGAGGCTGAGGCAAGAGGCTCACAAGATCAAGACCAGCTTTACCACTGTATCCCTAAACAACTTAGTGAGACCCTTTCCTCAAATAAAAAATAAAAACGGATTGGGGTCATGGCTCAGTGGTAAAGTGCCCTGGGTTCCATCTCTAGAGAAGAAGAAGGAGGAGGAACCCAGCATGGTGGTGCTTGATTGTAATCCCAGCTACTCAGGAGGCCGAGGCAGGAGGATCACAAATTTGAAGGCAGCCTGGGCAACTTAGCCAGAACTTATCTTAAAATAAAAATGTTAAAAGGCATGGGGGCGGTGGGGGTGGGTGGGTAGAGATGTGGCTCAGTGGTAAAGCACTTGCTTAGCATGCATGAGGCCCTGAGTTCAATCCCCAGACCCACCAAAATAAAATTTAAAAAGTTGAGAAATTCTAAGCCCAATTTTAAAAAGATAAGGAATTATCATCTAATCATTGTGTCAGTGGTCACCATCCCTGATAAATTAGCCAAACTGAAAAGCTGTAGGCGAGAAGGAGAAGTCTAGAACCAGACGGTCTGGGCCCAAATCCTGTGAGCAAGGCCTTGGACAAATGACTGAGGTCTCCCAAAAATGGAACTGAGCAAAGCAGCCCATCCCACAAAATTATTGTGATCTTGAACGAGATATTTACCACTAACGATTAATTTAGTACTAAGAAATCATATAAGAAATCAGCGCACAGTGAGCAAACAGTGTTCCCCATCATAATCTTCAAGGGACCACAGAAGCCGGGAGGAGGTGAATGTTCCTGCTGATGGAAGTCAGACCTGGGCCCGTGGAGCTGTCTCCCCAGATGGGCTCCCCTCGCCCCCTGAAGTTTATATGTGATGCCAACAAATCCTGGGCTTCCTCGAGTTTGTGTTCACAATTGTTTGTGTCCACACTTGTTAACAATAAGCTTTAATTTCTAAAGTGTGACCTAATTTTATATACTCTGGCTCTATTTGGATGTGCTAAGAATCCTCTTGGTCACTATTTCCAGGAATAACCCTTTATTTTCCTGTACCCCCAGCTTGGGAGTGCTCTCCATAGGTCAAAATGTAAAGTCAGGGTTTCCTTTTACCCACAAACACAAGCCCAGTTTAGTTTTGTCCTTACGCTCACAAACACACACACACACACAAAACTACTTCTCTCTTTCTTCCTTCCTATCTTTCTTTTTTTCTTTCTGATTGGGGTCTCACTGTGTTGCCCAGGCTGGCCTCAAACTTGTGATCCTCCTGCCTCAGCCTCCCAAGTAGCTGGGATGGTAGGTGTCAATCTTAACATTTGTATACTGCTAAACAATTTGTAAAGATTTTTCAAATTCACTCTCATTCAGTCCTCGGAATAGCACTTTAAAACAAGCCAGAGAGCTCTTCTTACTTTATTCTCCTGGATATGGAAGCTGATGGTTAGAGAAAGAACGTGACTTGATCCTTCCTCCTCTGTTTCCCAGTGATGCTGAGTCCACCCCCCCTACCCCCATCCCCCCCATGAAGATAGCATTTCTACCATTTATTTTGTACATGTGTCAAGCACTGTTTAGTGCTTGACACATGTACATAATTTTTTCCTCCCCAGAGCCCTAGAAGGAGGAATTATAAAGCTCATTTTTACAGAGCTCTCACTTGATCTCAGCAATGTTTTTTTTTTTTGGTACTGAGGATTGAACCCAGGGGTGCTTAACCATGGAGTCACATCCCCCAGCCCTTTTTATATTTTATTTAGAGACAGAGTCTCGCTAAGTTGCTTAGATCCTCGATAAATTGCTGAGGCTGTCTTTGAACTCAGGATCCTCCTGTCTCAGCCTCTGGAATCACTGTGATTACAGGTAAGTGCCACCACACCCCATTGGTCTCAAGCAATTTGATTCCAACACAGGGAAATTTCTAACAGGTATCTTCTGCCTTTAAACTTGACCCTTGCTGCCCTAAGATTTTTTTGTGTGTGTTTGTTTGGGGTTTTTGTTTGTTTGTTTGTTTGTTTGCTTTTTGCTTGCTAGGAATCAAACCAGGGTCTCCTGCAAGCTAGGCAAGGGCTTTACCCCTGAGCCACACCTCCAGCCCTTACCCTGACTTTAAGTGCCCTGAGAGGACTAAATGAGATAAGTATGTCAAAAGCTCTCTGGAAGCAGTAGTTGAGTTGATCTCTGCCCTGTCATAGACTTTGATTTCCATCCACCACAGTGGCCCAAGTGCAGGCGCAGAGAGCTTTTTGATAACATCACAGGAAGAAAACATTGGTGTGAGCTCATGATTTAACCTCAGAAAATGCTGACCCTTTATCTTTCCAATCACACAAGGACATAAGAATATACAGAATGCCAGGACTGGAGATTGGCACCTGTATTCCCAACAACTGGGGAGGCTGAGGCAGGAGGACCACAGGAGCCCAGAGTTCAGGAGTCAAGGCTGGCCAGGCCAACCCAGCAGGACCCCAACTCAAAAAAAAAAAAAGAAAAAAAAAGGCTGGGGTTGTAGCTCAGCGGTAGAGCGCTCACCTTGTGTGTGGGGGACCGTGGGTTCAATCCTCAGCATAAAAATAAACAAGTGAAATAAAAGTATTGTGTCCAACTACAACTAAAAAATATTTTTTTTTTAAAAAAAAGTGCACACAATGTTTAAACTGAGAAAAACTACACACATTGTCGGAAATGCTCAGATCAAGAAAGCAGTTTGAAGAAGTATTTTAAAGTTAAAAAATCCATGTAATTACCTCCCAGGTCAAGAAATAGCTCATCATGTGAGCTAAAATAAACCCTTTCTCTTTATAAAAAAAGCAAAAAAAAATTCATCACAGCACCCAGAAGGCCCCCTGGGGGACCCTTCTGCATTCTCTCTACCAAAGCAAACAGTTCCTCTCACTTCTATGGAAGTTCACTTCTTTATAGCTTTCCAGGTAACAGGCATTTCTAAACACGGTAGTTACCCCTTGCCTATAATTGAATTTCACATAAGCAGGGTCATCTGATGCATGCTTTTGTATGTCAGGCTTCTTTCACCCAATGTTGTGTTTTTTGAGAGCTTCCGTGATCACAGGGATGGGTGCTTGGTTTTCGTTGCTGTATGCTATTCCACCGCACAAATACACCAGCATCTATTCATCTGTTCTAGTGCTGATAGCTATGGGGATTTTCCAATTTGGAGCTGTGGGGCATAACAGTGCTTTGCAGACCCCTCACCTACAGAGTCAATGGTCATTTTTATGAATCTGCCTGCTTTTTCTCTCTCTCTCAACTGCCCAGGGACGTAGAGTTCCCTTTGTACACACCCTACCCCACCCCTACCACCTTGTCTGCTGTTCCTTTTGGAAATGTTAAAACATTACAGTACCAGCTGAGAACTACAAGCCTGTTGAAGAAATAGGAGGTCAAAGACTTCCCGGAGGTCTCCCTTCCTTTCTACTTCAGATTTGACTTCTGATAACAATAGCAAGAACAACAACAACAACAAAAAATACTTAAAAGCATGGAAAGAATTCTTATTCATTTCCTTGAGATCTGGGGGGGGGGCAGAGGGAATGGGGGAGCTAGTGCTGAGCTTCTTGGTGTTGCTGGGAAGGCCAGGCCCAGGCTTACCATCTCAGGCAAGAGAGAGGTTCCACTTCCGCACAGGAGAGGGGACAGGAGAATGTCTGGCAGCAGCCTCTGCCATCTGGGTCTCTGCTCCTATTCAGGGCCTGCTCCATAGCCAGTTCCCAGGACCATTTGGAGAGGACAATGAGGCGAGCACAGTGGGCCTCATTCTAGCTGTGGGCCAGGCAAGAAGCTGAGAGGTCTGCCTGCGCCATCCACTGCCCCATCATCCTGGCTCAGAGAAAGAGGGTCTGGGGAAGGGCTGAGGCCGTAGCTCAGTGGTAGAGCATTTGCCTTAGCATGTGTGAGCTCTCGGTTCAAGCCCCAGTACCACCACCCCCAAAAAGAAAAGAGAGTCAGTCTGGGGGAGCTGGGAAGGCTGGTCTCCTCTCCTACTTATGCCAAAAGGTGTCTGAGAGAACTTTGTCCCAGTGGAGATGGGAGGTTGGGAAGAATAAGCCCTCCCTACAGGGCCTGCATCCGCCCACAGGACTGCATCCCACCCAGGTCATCTTCTATATTATTTGGGATGTCCACTGTTTCATTGCATTGGACTTAAGTTTTTTCAATAATCTACTCTTGGCAGGGGCATCCCTGGTGCCATCTTTCTGGAAGGCCACGTGGGAATAAGAATCTGAAGTCTGGAAGATGTGCTTGACCTTTGACCCAGCAGCACCACTTCTAGGAAGGCATCCTAAGGAAATAATCAGACAATAGACACAGACTGTTCACGGCAGTATTGTTTATAATACGGAAAAGCCAGAGACACCCCAGGTATAAGAAGGAACCAGCTAAATGAATAAATCCCTGGACATCTTTATAGGAATGCTATCAAAGAGTGTTTAACGGCTTGGAACACTGTTTACAATAAGAAAGAAAAGCACTTTACAAAATGATGATTAACAATACGATTCCAAAGGTGGGGGGGGGGTGAAAAAACCGAAAGGATATACACCTGCAAAGAAATAGAGCCATAAATCCAGATTTAGTTATAGGGTCAGTATATACTTTATGTACTATTTTTAAATCTTTACTTTTTAATTTGCAAAAGTAATACATGCTTATTGAAAAAAAAAATTAAGTAAAATTTTGAATTAGTTTTGCCTTCATTCAAGACCACTTCTTGGAGGTAAATGCTATCAACAATTTGGTGTATCTCCTTCCAGACTTCTTTAAGTTTTCAAGTGCTTTACAACTTACTAAACAAATCTCTCTCTCTCTCTCTCTCTCTCTCTCTCTCTCTCTCTCTCTCTCTCTCTCTCTCTTTTTGGAGGGGCATTGGTATTGGGGGATTGATCTCTGTGTGTGTGTGTGTGTGTGTGTGTGTACTGGGGATTGAACCCAGAGGTGCTTATCCACCAAGCCACATCCCTTTTTTGTGTGTTTTCATTTTGAGACAGGGTCTCATTAAGTTGCTTACGGTCTCACTAAGTAGCTGAGGCTGGCCTCAACTTATGATCCTCCTGCCTCAGTACCTCAGTCTCCCAAATTGCTGGGGTTGCATATGCACATCACTACACCCGGCTCATAAATATCCCTTAATTATCCTAATAACCTTGTAGCTCAGTATTTTTATTTCCTGATTGATTAATTGATTTACTTGTTTAAATTTTTTGGTACTGGGGATTGAACTAAGGGAAGTTTTACCACTGAGCCCCATTTCCCAGAGACTCCTTTACTTCATGGGACAAAATCTACCCATCTGCACTTTGAATTCTCTGGCCCCAGTTTCTCTTCTGAGCCCGAGTCCTGTTGATTGGTCCTGGCACACGTAACAGTATTGACCCAGGAGTCGGAAATAGCCTTCT